GACTCTTCTGTGGCACCACCGCCTTGGTCACCCCTCCCTGCGAAGCCTGCGTGGCATGCACTCTCGCCTCCTTGTCTCTGGTCTTTTTAGGTCTCTGCCTCCCCTCCCACCCTCGCCGGCCCCGCCCAGACTTCCTTGCGTCGAGGGGCAGTAGCGCACCGCACCTCACTCCTCCTCGTTTCCCCTGACAACTTCTCCCCTGCAGACTCTCCACATGGACGTGTGGGGCCCAGCCCGCGTCAGTGGACAGGGCCGTGAGCGCTACTTTCTGCTGGTCGTTGACGACTACACGCAGTACACCACGGTCTTCCCCCTTGCGCAGCAAGGGTCAGGTCATTGATGTCTTGATCCCTTGGATCCGTGCAGTACGTCTCCAGCTCTGCGAGCGGTTCCAGCAGGACCTTCCTGTCCTGCATCTGCACTCTGACAGAGGTGGTGAGTTCTCGTCCGACCTCTTGCGGGACTTTTGTCGTGGGGAGGGCATTCTCCAGTCATTCACGCTTGCGGCCTCACCGCAGCAAAATGGGATTGCTGAGCGCCGCATTGGCTTAGTCATGGAGGTCGCCCATACCTCCATGATCCATGCGGCTGCTCCCCATTGTCTATGGCCGTTTGCGGTCTAGTACGCTGCGCATCAGCTCAACCTCTGGCCCCGTGTCTCCTTGCCGAAGACCTCGCCCACATTGCGTTGGACGGGGGAGGTTGGCGATGCGTCGGTGTTCCGGGTCTGGGGCTCTTGTGCCTTTGTTCGCAATTCGTCCGCGGACAAGCTCTCTGCCTGTGCTATCCCCTGCGTCTTCCTTGGCTTTCCCGCTGACGCGCCTGGCTGGCAGTTTTACCACCCCACCTCGCGCTGTGTCTTCCCCTCTCAGGACGTCACGTTTGACGAGTCGGTTCCCTTTTACCGTCTCTTCCCCTACCGCTCTGCACCTCCCCCGCCCCTGCCGCTCTTCCTTGCTCCTGGTCCCCCTCCGGTAGACCCCCTCCCGCCCCAGGGTCCTGCTCCCTCAGGTGTGTCTCAGGTAGACCCTCTCCCTAGTACTGTGCATGTTGAGGTAGCTCGTGACTCAGGTGCTGCTCGAGGTACTGTGTCTAGGGGTGCTGCGTCTGGGGGTGCGGAGCCTGGGGGCGCTGAGTCTGAGGGTGCTGGGTCTGGGGGTGCTGAGCCTGGGGGTGCTGAGCCTTGGGGTGCTGAGCCTGTGGATGTTGAGCCTGGGGGTGCTAAGTCTGAGGGTGCGGAGTCTGGGGGTGCTAAGCCTCGGGGTGCTGCTTTGTCTGGAGGTCCTGCTGGTGCTTCGTCGCGACTGTCTCCCCGGCCGGAGCCTCTCTCCCCGCAGCAGCGGCGTGAGTGGCTTGTTCGGCGAGCACGCCTTTGGAGTGGAGCTGCCGGAGCTGGAGCCACTGGAGACACTGGAGACATTGGAGACACTTGAGCTCGAGGTGCTGGAGTTCCTGCTGGAGCTGGTGGTACTGGAGGTACTGCGACTGCTGGTCCTGAAGGTGCTCGTACTAGGGGTACTGGAGCTGCCGGGACTGGTGGCGTTGGGGGCGCTAGAGCTGGAGACCCTACGGAGCCTGGAGCTGCTGGAGCTGGAGGCACAGGCGCTGGTGGTGCTGGAGCTGGAGGAGCTGGAGCTGGTGGCACAGGCGCGGGAGGCGCTGGAGCTGGAGGAGCTGGAGTTGTTGACCTTGTAGCTGGAGGTGCTGGAGCTGGGGGTGCTGTTTCTGGCAGTATTGGTGCTGGAGGCACTGTGCGGCCACGAACGTACTTCGTTCCCCTGCTTCAGCAGGTTCTTGGTGTCCCGTCTTCCACAAGCCTTACTCCTCCCCTGCTGTGTCCACCGCCTGACCAGTCGCAGCCGCAGTTACAGCCAGCCTCCCCACTGCCTACTCCTTCTCCTTACACTGAGCAGTCCGGCGGTCTTACAGAGCGACGTGAGCCTGCGTCTCGTCCTGTCTCACCTGTTTGCACTGCTCGTCGCGTTCCTCGTTCGCACCCTCCTCCTGTCCCCGGCACGCACGCTTTGGCACTTCGTCCTTCCTCTGTTCCACTGCATGTTCCTCTGCCGCCTCCTCATGAGTCCTCTCTTCCTGCCGTCCCTGACCCTGGGTCTGACCTTGCTCGTGCTGCCAGTCCCACTGTCTCTCGTCTCCTCGCCACTGTTGTCACTGACCCTTCTTTTGAGTCCACTGCTGCATCTGCCCTCGTTGCTGAGCTGCTTGACTTTGCTGCTGCCTGTCGTCTAGACTACGCCACTGCTCTTGTTGCTGAGTCTGAGTCTGCCAGTATTCCGTCCGTCGGGGGTGAGTGTGCTCTTGGCACGGACGTCCTTGAGGACAGGCAGGAGGACTTTGAGTGTCTTGCAGCTGCTGTACCTCGTTTCGCTTCCATGCTGCTTGCCCCTGAGGGAGACCCGGATGCACCAGACATCCCGACCCCGCGCTCTTACGCAGAGGCAATTACGGGTCCTTACTCCTCTCAATGGCAGGCAGCCATGGATTCCGAGATGGCATCCTGGAAGTCCACAGGCACCTACGTCGACGCAGTTCCCCCGTCTCGGGCGAACATAGTCGATGGCATGTGGATTTTCAGGGTGAAGCGGCCGCCGGGTTCTCCGCCTGCCTTCAAGGCGCGTTATGTTGCTCGAGGCTTGAGTCAGCGACATGGGGTTGACTACTTCCAGACCTTCTCCCCCACCCCAAAGATGACCACTCATCGGGTGTTGCTGCACGTTGCTGCTCAGCGTGACTACCAGTTGCACCCTTTGGACTTCAGTAGAGCTTTCTTGCAGGGCAGCCTGCACGAGGAGATCTGGCTAGCTTCACTGGGTCGTTTCCTGCAGGAACTCAGTGGAGCCTTCGGCGGCCAGTCTACGGTCTCCGCCAGGCGCCTCCCGAGTGGCACGACACACTGAGGACTACACTTGCGGCTCTTGGGTTTGCTCCTTCTACTGCTGACCCGTCGCTGTTTCTACGCACCGACACCTCGCTGCCGCCTTTCTACGTCCTCGTCTACGTCGACGACCTGGTCTTTGCCACTGCTGACACTGAGGCACTGACCCTTGTGAAGTCGGAGCTGTAAAAGAGACACACCTGCACTGACCTGGTTGAACTGCGCAGCTATCTTGGCTTGCATATAACCTGGGACACAGCACGGCGCACCATCACCCTGACTCAGTCACACATGGTGCACCAGGCCCTTCAGCGCTTCGGCTTCCAGTTCTCCTCGCCACAGCCCACTCCTCTGTCTACCGGCCACTCGCTCTCAGCTCCACCTTCGAACGAGTCTATAGAGCCGAGTGGTCCGTACCCAGAGCTTGTGGGTTGCCTCATGTACCTGATGACGTGCACACGACCTGACCCCGCGTACCCACTCAGCCTTCTGGCTCGCTACGTGGCTCCCGGTAGGTACCGAAAGGTGCACTGGGATGCTTCGAAGAGGGTACTGCGTTACTTGTGCAGTACGTCGGGCATGGGGCTCGTGCTTGGAGGACGGGGTCCAGTTGTCCTCACTGGTCACGCATACGCTTCTTGGGTTGACGACTCAGCTATGCAGCGGTCGTCACAGGGTTACACCTTCAGCCTCGATTCCGGCTCTGTTTCTTGGCGGTCTACCCGCTCGTCTTCAGTTCTCAGCTCCAGTTGTGAGGCTGAGATCTACGCCGGGGCCATGGCTGCACAGGAGCTACGCTGGCTCACATACCTGCTGACTGACTTGGGAGAGCAGCCTCGTTCGCCTCCAGTTCTGTACGTAGACAACAAGGCCATGATTGCCTTGTGTCAGGAGCACAGACTGGAGCACAGAACGAAGCACATCGCTCTGCGATACTTCCTTGCTCGAGAGTTGCAGCAGCGTGGCGAGCTTCGTCTTGCGTACATGGCCACTATGGCCAAAACTGCTGATATATTCACCAAGGCACTTCCGCCTGGTGATCATCAGCGCTTCTCTACTGTGTTAGGCCATGTGCCTACTTTGCCTCATTTGCTCACTGCGTGACTTTGTTTGTACTGTGATCTATAGATATACCTGCATGCTTACACTTGCTAGGGTATGATCGCTGTATTGTTTGTTCTCTTTTATATAACTCTGCATGTGAACTGGCCTTGTGGTCCTTTGCTTGTGCTCGGACTGTGTGGTGACTTTGTGATCCACGCTGAGCTTGCTTTGCTTTTCTTGACTGGTCTTGTGACCACTTGTTCTCCCCCACTTTGCCTATGGGGGTGTGTCAGAATGTTATAGTGCTTACATTTGTGTAGGCTATAGTGGGGTAGCCCATAAGGGGTACAACCCAATTAGGGTGAGTACTTGTACCCAACTGTTTCATAGTTCATTCATTCTCGTTCATTATTCTGACAAGAACGAGAGAGAAAGAACGAGAGAGAGAGAAAGAGAGAGAGAGAGAGAACGAGAACAAGAGAGAACTAGAATGATAGAGAGAGAGAGAGAGAGAGAGAGAGAGAGAGAGAGAGAACGAGAGAGAGAAGGAGAACGAGAGAGAGAGAACGAGATAGATAGAACGAGAACAAGAGAGAGAGAGAGAGAGAGAGAGAGAGAGAGAGAGAGAGAGAGAGAGAGCAAACGAGAGAGAGAGAACGAACGAGAGAGACAGAGAGAGAGAGAACAAACGAGAGAGAGAGAGAACGAGAGAGAGAACGAGAGAAAGAGAACAAGTGAGAGAACGAACGAGAGAGAGAGAGAGAGAGAGAGAGAGAAAGAGAGAGAGAGAGAGAGAGAGAGAGAGAGAGAGAGAGAGAGAGAGAGAGAGAGAGAGAGGACCTTGCCCTAGAGCCTCATTATTCAGTTCTGTGTTCATTTGCTCTCCTATCCGAGCGGCTCGCGCCGGCCGCCTTCGGCGGCCAACGCTCGACAGCGCGGCCTTCGGCCGCGCGTGAGGGGCGGCAAGCACATCGCAGGCAAATGCAATAATAACGCACAGTCGTACAGTCATGGCAGGGAGTCTCATCTACTAGCAACAACATGGGACAAGCACGAGTGGATCCTACATCTGATCCGCGTCAAGGACAGCGAGAAGACCCGTCAGAGAACGATGAAGCTCGCGCACCACCACTGTCGTTGCGCCGATCAAGTCGACGGCAGAGCCCGCGCGCAACAACCGGCACAAACCACGGACCGCCGTCCCCAACTGTCCAACGCCCGCAACTCCACCCCGCGCGGGCGGAGCCAACACGGGCGCCAGGAGCTCGGCCAGTCGATCCGCGGCATCCAGGCACTCGTCACGGGGGCCAGGGTCCAGATGAGCACCCTGGGAGAGAGCCGCGTGACCATACACATGAATCAGGTGCACTGCCCGCAGACCCTCAGAGAGGCGCCATAGCTGCCCCAGCGACGCCTCCGGCACTATGGCTGACGGAAGGGGCCCCACCAGTGACTGTAATGGCACCGATACAGCCGGAGGAGCGGGAGCAACAGGCAGTAGAGAGGGATACTGCGCCGTCACCGGTCCTCCAGCCGCGGTCACAAACTCCATACCTGCCACAGGAGGAACCCACGGCAGGCGCATCCGGTTCCCATGAGCAGCGGCAGATGCAGAGGGAGCTAGGGGGGGGGGAACGGCTGACTGTGGAAGGGGAGGTGCAGGCTCATAGGGCGCAGACGGAGGACGGGACGCATGCGCTGGAGCGACGCGCGGCGAGTTGCTCTGGCTCGCCTGCCCGTTCCGCTCCAGTTGCATCGCATCTGAGACGACACGCTGTAAATCAGCCATCGTCACTGGCTGATCATACGCCCAGCCACCACCACGACCGCGCCCCCCCACCAGCCACCGCGACCACCACGGGATGCAGCCCAGTTCGCCTGGGACCCTCGGCGCCGAGGAGAATCGTGTCGCCGCCGCGTCGTCTCTCGCTCGTCCCGGGCCGCAGGAGAGTGCGGCCGATGCTGCCGGCGGCCCGGAGATAGCGGACGCTGAGCCAGGGGAGCAGCGGCGAGCGGCGCAGTATCAGGAACCGCCTGGACGTCCGGGGGCGGCACCGATGTCGCCGCAGTCGGTAGGACGGGAGCCGACAGCGCAACGCCCCCCCCCACCTCCCCTGGCCTTGGGCCGCCAGTGGTGGCGGACACCGCGTGCGGTGATGAACAAACAGCAGCAACCGGGGCAGGCAGGGCGACAAAGACAAGCGGCGCATCGAGGATCGGGGCGCCCGGGGGGGCATCAACGACGACAACGGGAGCAGGAGACTCAACGGGAGCAACAGGAGCAACAGGGGCAACGGGAGCAGGCCCCGCAGGAACACGCGCGTGAGGAGCGGCCGCAGCTAGAGGAAGAGGCTCTGCGGCAAGTGGAGCCGGCGCCGGCGGACTCGGGGGCTCCAGCACGGAGGGAGGCGGTTTCGGTGCAGACGGCAGTGGCGGCTTCTTCGAGACAGTCACCGAGCCAGACACTGCCGACGACCTACCGGAACCCGCAGACGCAACGACAACGCGCTCTGGCTCAAGCCAGCCTTCGATCACCATTGCGGATTGGACGGGGTAGAGGCCGCGGGGGAGGAGCAGCGAGTCGTGTGGGGGGTGGACCAGAGAACGCTTTCCAGGTGGCGGGATGACAGGCTTTAAGAAGGATAATCGAAAATATCGACCAGGAGGAGTGCAGCGACCCCTCTTATAGGGAGGAGACAGGTGTCCTTGGTAGTACCAGTGAAGAGGAAGATGGAACTTGGGAAAGGGAAGAGGCAGCGAGCAGAAGTCGAACGGAACAACGGAGTGCAGGGGAATCTCACCAAGCTGGGGATGAGCCGCACGATGGCAATCGTACGGCCAGAATTCCAATTCAATCTCCAGCCCCCTCCCCGAGCCGCAGCCGCACAAATCGGACCGCGAGACGCCAGACCGGCGTGGCGCCCGTGGTCCCACATCAGCGCTACTACTCGCCAGAGGAGCTGGCGACACACAGCGACCGGTTCGCATCACTCGCGAACTGGGATATTGCCCCGCTCTGCGACAGTCGCCAACCCTTGCTAGCCCGCAGACTGCCGCCAAATCTGTGTCAGCTTTTTTCGCTATGCCTGCTGATACCACTCCTACATCTATCACGTAACCCGGGCTCCATCGCAGGCTGGCGCCGGCTCCTTTTTCTCCCGCGTCTCACTCTTCGTTAGACTTCGCCAAAACGTCCGGATTGGCCGAAAATCAAAGCGCGACTCCGTTCGTTCCAACGTGGCGAATGGGATCAGCTGTACACTGAAGCAACCGAAGCAGTCAATAACCCAGCCCCACCACGACACCAACCCGATGACACAGGTGTCATCAGCAGAGCAGAGGGACTGGCGAAGCGCGGGAGCTTACGCAGAGCGGTGTTGGCACTGGAGTCAACCCCGGTCTGCACGCCCAGTCCAGGGATTTTGGATGAACTTCGCAAGAAACACCCACGAGCGGGACCCGAGCCGCTGATGTGGCCCCAACACGATGACCCCCAACGCCTCTCAATCCCATACGTTGACTTCCACAAGCTGCTGAGCCGATGCGAAAACGGGGTGGGTGCAGGGCCATCTGGCACCACGTTTGAGCACCTGCGCGATGCGGCAATCACAAACGCATCGGTTTGCACCCACCTTCACGCCTTGGTTAACACCATGCTGGGGGGTCAACTGCCCCAGCCTGTAGCCGACCTGCTCACATCATCCCGCCTAATCGCGTTCGCCAAGCCAGAAGGTGGGGCCCGGCCAATTGCAATAGGCGAATGTTTGACCCGCCTGGCAGCAAAGGCCGCCATGTCAGTAATAGAAGAAGCAGCACGGGAGTTTTTCCTCCCGCTGCAATTCGAGGTGGCGGTTCCAAGTGGAGCAGAGGCGATCATCCATACCGTCCGGGCTTTCACCGACGCCCAACCAGACACACTGATACTTCAAACTGACCTATCAAACGCTTTCAACAGTATCTCGCGACAGGCAATAGTGGCAGCTTTACAGGACGATGCTTTACAACCATTACTGCCGCTGGTCCAACTCACATACGGCAACCCGTCGCTACTCTACCTCGATGCCGGTTTTAACAGCGCACCCTTAGCAAGCGAACGAGGCATCCGCCAGGGAGACCCCTTAGGCCCTCTGCTTTTCGCGGCAGGAATACACCCAGCCCTACGTGCGACTGCCACCGCCTACCCCCGCGTACTCTGCCTAGCCTATGCCGACGATGTCACGTTCCTAGGTGCCGCCGCCGAGACAACCGAAGCCTTCGCCCATTTTACCGGACAGCTAGAGCTAGTAGGCCTTCGACACAATCTTGGAAAGTGTGCCGCATGGAGTAGAACCCGCCTAGCCAGCTCGGTGCAACTACCACTAGGAGTCCCTTTCTCCGGTGATGGCGTCTGGCTCTTAGGCAGCTTCATAGGAACGACGGTAGGTGCTGCCTCTTTCATCACAGAACAACTCACGGCAATGGCGAAACCACTCCCACTGCTAGAACTAATGGACCCACAGACCTCCTCCCTGCTCCTCACGCGCTGCATATCTCGCCGCATCGCCTACCTTACGCGGACCACACCTCTCAATTTTCTCCCCGACGGCAAATGGTCGCAGTGGGGACGGGACCTACTTGCCACCCTTTTAGCCTCATGCGGTATCCGCTATCCAACAAGTACTACTGAGCAAAACCGGGTCTGGGAACAGTCCACACTACCCCCCTCCCTAGGTGGGATCGGCCTCACTGACCCCACAATCGAAGGATTATACGGTTTCCTAGCAAGCTTCACACAGGCAGCTCTACTCCTCTGCTCGCTCCCCTTAGAACAGGACGACATCCAGACACACGCCAAGAATTTCATGCTACTACCACGAGACACTAGCACACCCCTTCACGCGTGGCTGTCGGCCTGTGAGAGGGCTCTGCCGGCAGACGCCCGTGAGATCCTAGAGGCGGAGAGATTAGAACCCAAGGGCGTGAAGCTGCAACACGCCCTCGCAGTGAAGGTCCACGGGAGGAGATATGCGAGGCAAGTACAGGAGACCCGGCGGATGAGTCTCAACCCGCTATCAGGGCACACTCAGCGCATGTTCTCCCTTACCGGCTATGGCACCAGAGACTGGCTGACGGCTTTACCGATTGAAAACACCCGCCGCGTCGCGCCAGAGCACTTCGCCAATGCCATCCGGTTTCGCCTTGGCCTACCTTTCTCCACGCCCGCCAAGTGTGACTGCTCGGACCACACAGAGATTACCGACCCACGGCTGCCGAACCATCTTTTCCGCTGCGGCACGGGCAAGCACAGGATTAACACCCATAACGAGCTCTGGGACGCTTGCTTCACCATGGCACAAGATGCGGGTTTCATCGTCCATGGGGAATCGGCCACCTACTGCCCAATCGAGGACCAAGAAGAAGAGACACTATGCCAACCGGCCGGACACGGTGGCCTTTTTCCCACTGGCTGTGGATACCTATGGGTGCCCATGTGTAGAGGTCCCAGAATTCTTGAAGCTACTGGCGGACACAGCTGCTAGGCGTCACTTCAACGCCCAACCATACTCGTTTCATGCAGCTAGGTTCCTCCATCTCTTCAGGCAGCGGTGGTCCGTGGCTCTGCAAAGAGCACAGTCAGTGGGTTACCTTATTAAGTCGAATCAGGCGGCAGTAGCTGAAAATCCCCCCGTGGGGGGGGTGCAGTCCGAGCTCCACCTTGGGGACTGCTGTGCAGTACTAGAGCCTCTCATGGAAGTATAGATAGGGAGCTGTGGGCAGCTAGACAGTTTCTCTGCTTGTACGTTTGCATTCCTAGCACCTATACCTTGCATGTCTGTACTCCTCTTACATCAATGCACGGACCATTAGAGAGAGAGAGAGATAGAGAGAGAGAGAGAGAGAGAGAGAGAGAGAGAGAACAAGAGAGAGAACAAGAGAGAGAGAACGAGAGAGAGAAAACAAGAGAGAGAGAGAGAGAGAGAGAACGAGGGAGAGAGAGAACAAACAAGAGAGAGAGAACGAGAGAGAGAGAGAACAAGAGAGAGGGAGAGAACGAGAGAGAGAGAGAATGAGAGAGAGGGAGAGAACGAGAGAGAGAGAGAGAGAGAGAGAGAGAGAGAGAGAGAGAGATAACGAGGGAGATAGAGGACGAACGAGAGAAAGAGAACGAGAGAGAGAACAAACCCTAAAGTAGTTTCAGTTTCATCACAAACATTTTGTACCCTAATGCTAGTTGATCGCGTCGTTAACAACTATAAAAAAAACGAGGAATAGATTTAACGAAATGAACAATTGGATAAAATCTCAAGAAACAGAATGAACGAGATCAGTAAGGAACGAACATTGAACTGGAAGGAAACGAGAGGGGAAAACAACAATCGGAGAGCATGTAAATAGAGAAAAAGATTCATAGAAAGGCGAGAGAGCGCGATAGGGAACAAAAGAAAAGATGTAGCCTTATTAACGACCAAAAACATACAAGGAAAACTGAAGCCTTTACAAAGGCCTGTAACCTAGGCTTGAACGGTTTTGATTCCATGAAAACGACCAAATGCGGAAGTCGAAGATCTTAGTCTAGCTTGTAATCGTTTAACTTAGTCTCTAGTTAATAGCTACGGGTCTTCTCACCTTTCAGTGGTAGCAGTAGATGGAGCGTCAGGAGCGTGAGTAGTAATGTAGATCTAGGCTGCACTGGCGAGTGGGAGTGACGGAAGGAAAGAACGTTGAAACCCTTAAGAGTTAGTTAACATTTGTTGTATTTGTAAGGGACGAGTATTTTAATAAATAAAATTGTTGTGTCGCTCGTAGCACAGTCGTCACAAATGGAGCGCAGGGCCGAAAGGTCAACAGTCGGTTCTCAGAGAGTCATGGAAATATAATAAAATTTGTTGAAACTTCCAGTTTTGTGCTCTATAAAAGTTGTACATTTTAATGTTCTTCTGCAAAATGCTTCGCAACCCTAAGACGATTTCGTTGCCTCTTGTTTGCACTTTCGGAAAAATAAATCACTAATTAATGTAACACGCATTATGAAATTCGTACAGCACTTCTCAAAATCCGCCACAAAAAAACCGCGGTGCGGTATTGGTTGTGGCTATCACCCACTTCGCTCGCCAGGGCTGTCCGACATGGCTATCCTCTGGCGCCCTTGCTCTTCGTCTGCGTCATCAAGATCTTCCACCACTAAATGTCCCTCTTCCTCCCCGGCTTCGCTCTGTCCCCTGCTCAGCGCCGCCTCATGACGTGCTATGCGGACGATGTCACTCTCTTCCTCACCTCAGATACAGAGCTCGGACAAGTTGTGCTGCTAGGCGTTTTCGGATCTGTCTCTGGTGAGGTCCCCAACTAATTGGAACAAGTGCTCCATTATTCCATTCACTATCCCCCCTGCTGACCTCGTACACGCTGGGACTATACCCATCCGAGCCCCCAATGAGGCTGAATGCATCCTTCGAATCTAGGTCGAGCGCATTGTATCGTGCCAGGATGCTAAGAGGGTAGGCAAGGTCAGGTCGAGTGCAGGTCATCAGGTACATGAGGCAGCCCACAAGCTCTAGATA